GTCTTCGTGTGTTGGGTGTGTAGATAAGCGTTCTCTACATATTGGATGACAATGCACCGGTGCATCGTACACCAAGTAGTCAATCTCGCTGCTGCAGAGAACAAGTAGTTGAAAATTACAGATCATTAGATCATTGTCTTCTGGCGCACGGGTTTATATAGATACACACAGTTTTCCTCAGATCCGTGTACGAGTGTTACCTGCAACGTAGATAGCAGCCAGCTATTCTGTGGACAACCTAGTTGATGTGATTGACACAATACTGCATCAGAGCTTGGTTTCACCTATGAGGCGATCTGTAGCTTTCAATTATGNGAGAATTGAAATTGGGCCGTTTCATAATCTGACTATTCGGTACACGAGTACTCCTAATGCACCGGTACTTGCTAGTCAGGACGATGATGGTCACGTACTGACTGTTCTCTGTGTTCATATGTATACGCCACCATCTCGTTTGGTCTTAAGTTTTCGTTTTCTGTTTACCGTTCAATTTCGGTCCCATTCAGACCAGAACGAGAGTTAGCTTATTCACGCTCACGGTACGGATAGAGAAATCGGTGTTCTGTTGTTCATCAGATATTGATCGATTATTTTGTTGACCCACAGCCATTCAAAAAGGGTTGTTGATACTTTTTTTCTCCAATTCTTACCCTCCCCTCCCCTGTCAGCCTTTGGCATATCTGGGTGCTCAAGTTTTGGGCATAGACGAAGTTTCCGAAAGTATTCACGTGGCCACGGCTCATACACAGTTGACAGCCGATCGTTGGAAACAGGCCAAACGTGACTGTCCACGGTACGAAACAATTGGTCTGAATACTGTGGCCACACGTTCCCGCTCACATTTCGATGCGGTGGTCATGTCCGAATTGCTCGAACACGTGACCGATTGGGAAAACATGCTCTATTTGGCTCACGTGTGTCTCAAGGTGAGTGTGATTGATCTCCCGGGCACTCTGTAGACACTACTGTCCTTAGACATTCACGACATTCGAATAACCACGTGTCTCCTTGTTCTACCGACTTCGTTGTCACTGTTAATTTGCTCAAATGAAGATAGTGCTAAAAATGCGAGCGAACTGGATGTTAAAAAAACGTGTGAATTGATACGATGAAAAATGAGAAGTGTACTGAAAGCCCCGTCTTATCTACTTAGACTATGCGTACGTGCACTTTCACACAAGTTTGTGTCAGGACATGATTGATAAAATCGAAGTATATGTACTGACAAGCATTCGAGGATGTATCGGTGGAAGATTCATTTCGGATGAACAGGATTCGGTGGTTTGGGCCACCCATTGCACGTACCTATCAGTTGTCTACTGGACTGTGCTTCACTTATGTTTCACAGAGGGAACTCGTCATCGTGTCATAGAGCAAGTGAAGCGTGAACTGAAAAGCTAGGAAGCACTGAACAGCAGCTGTTTCGACCTGGTTCGGTCTCATCCGAGTAGCGGTGCACGAATTAATCGACCTAAGTAGGGATGGAACCCGGGAACTCAAANCTCAAAGGTAGAACACAAGCCATCTGGCAGCTGTTCAAACCGCTTTTCATTTACCATTTACACAACGCATCTTTGTTGCAGGCCTCGTGCCTCGCTCATTTCATCACTAGCCTCCGGGGTTATGACTCGGTTGAAAACGTTCACAATCTAATTAACTGGTAGCCGACTACAGCTCTTGGGCTACCCCAAGTAGTTCTTTTGAAAGTGTGCCCTGATCACCACTCACAACACCGCCCACACACACACAAGCGGAGATCCGAAAGAAACTCTAAGCCTTGAAACACCAGAAGCATCTGGATCAACTAACCTACTGCCGGCCCTGTTTAAGTATGGCTCACATTCACCTTCGTGAATGTGAGCTTGTCAGACTGTTTTTGAAGATCTGGAAGGATGAAACTGTACTCCCAACATGTGAAGGAGAGAATCGATTGTTACTCGTATTTACCATAAGGGCTGTCAAATTGTTTGTTTAAATCACAGGGACATTAGCGCCGAAGTTTTTAGAGTCCGTTTCATCATGCAGACTAAGTTCGTCTTGTGAGAGGCAAATCCGGGTTCCGTGCATGCCGTGGTTGCATAGATTCAAACCTTCAGGCTTCAGCATTAGCTGGAACACCGCCACGAACATAGGCGACAAACTAATGTGATGTTTTTGCACATTAGAGCATCCTTTGACTACATCGACCACTCTGTTCTGCTTGCTTGCTTGCTGGGATACGGAGTATCTGAGAAGTATATCCTGTTTCTAAAAGCACTCTATCGTCAGATCTCGAGGAAGGTTAGGCCCTATGGTAAACTCTCATCCCCGCCTCCTGTCACCAGTGGAGTATTACAGGGTTGCTCTATCTCTCCCGGTTTCGATTCAACTTTGCTATAGATGGTGTCCTGCAGAAAGTGTTACTTAACGTAACGAAATTTGGCGTTGAGCTTCCTCCTGGAGACAGAGTCCGTCGACTTGGATTATGTTGGTGATATTGCCAGCGATTCGAAACACGCTGAATCGTTATGCGACTGGGGCTGCTCGATATGGGGGGTATGGGTGTTTTGTACCGTCCAAGTTTGAGGTGCTGCCGCACGATTGGCAACAACCTATTTCTCTACCCAAGTTGGGTAAGAAAACTCTGTACATTATTGAGAGCTTTATCTATCTCTCGTGAGTTGAAAACTAGTTAGGTTGATGAGATCTCTCAACGTGTAATCAAAGCGAGATGAGAGTTTGCTAATCAGTGATATTTCAGCTACTAGAATGGCACTTCCTTTTCATTGAAAGCGTTTATGTATCCCGGAACTCTGTTCGTGTCGCGTTACTTTACGGTTGAAAAAACTTGACCTCTTCAAACAAATCATATCCAATCACCATCTGTTTCGTACAACCGCCGTCTGTGAATTACGTGCTGCGTATCGTTGGGGGCATCGTGTAAGTAACGATTAGGTCAACCGGTGTGTGTTGAGTAAAAGCATATCACTGCCCCGTCTGAGGTGGCTTATCCTACCGTCCGTTATTTACAGACATCGGATCAGACTGAACGAAGCAGTGAGGTGAATGAATGATAGCGCGGCGTATAGGGTTGATGGAATTGTGTTCGGATTTGGCTTCCGTCGGGGTTTCTCGGTTGTATGACCCCACAGATTCAGATTGTCACTGATTGGAGACACCGCTAGATACGGTATTGAATCAAACTCAACAGAATGAGTGCGTCTTTTTTGTTTGTGTTGCGGCCTACAATTGACTAATACGTTTGTCATCCTTGCCTGTAGCCGGATTGATTGATTGATCGATTGGCAAGTGCTGTCTGCTAGCACACACGCAACACGCACTCACGTCATACGGTCTGACTTTCCATCACTACGAGACTACACGTTGACGTGGTTTGATGGCTTGTGCACCTCTGTGACCCAACGAGCTACACAGGATGGCTTTATAAAGCCAGGAGATCTTATCATGCCTGGAAAGTCAATGGGTAGAGGTCAGAAGGCGTTCAGTCTCCTGGTCCTCCAGGTTGGTGGTTCGCCTGGGATTTGGCGTTTCAGTCGATAAAAAGCGGTGAAGGAGTAATTGATCCAAGTATATGGGCCTCCACTTTGTCTCACCCGCTGCCTTGCGGTTAGGTTCTTGTTAGAACTAAAGGCTTTGGACGAGAACCCTAATCGTTCTCCTACTTAGTGACTGGACACCCTAGCAGTTCCCGTCCACCAAACCCCAATGCATACACAAAATAAAAATAATTTCATACTGCATGGATCGTCGCGCAGGATAATCAGGACCACGCTGCCCATTGCATCGAGCGGGGTGGGTAGTG